ACCACCATTCCTCATCCTTGTGTGCGAGTGTGGCAGAAAATAGAAGAGAACTGGAGGTGAATTCTGTTGAAAATTACTTTCTACAGAGTCTTGGATTTCAGCTCAACATTTTTGCAGTTACATTGGTAACTTAACTATCACCCCTGCTGAAAGTGCAGAACAACATCTGGCTTCAGCGTATTTTAGCTCTTTCATCCTGTTTTGGAGGGGAAACAAGCATAAAGCTGCATCTGCTTCTGTAGTTGAGGTGAAACTGTTTGTTGCAGAAGATAGGCTTGTCCAGGTGGGGAGTCTGTGGAATGGGAAGATTGATCTTTTCATCTGTGTGTTTGGGAGATAGTGGGTTTGAGTGAGGACGTCAGTGACTGTAGGGAATGTGGTAGCCAGCTGCAAACGTCATGCTTCCCTCACGTGTGGCTTTTCTTTTTTCTTTTTTTTCCCCCTTTTCACTGGTACTGTTTGTTTCGGTAGAAAATCCCCCCCTGAAGCGGAAGAAGGGCCCAGCCCCTAAGATGCTGGGAAACGAAGTGTGCAGCGTGTGTGGGGACAAGGCCTCCGGCTTCCATTACAACGTGCTGAGCTGCGAAGGCTGCAAGGGCTTCTTCCGCCGCAGCGTCATCAAGGGCGCGCAGTACGTCTGCAAGAATGGCGGCAAGTGTGAGATGGACATGTACATGCGTCGCAAGTGTCAGGAGTGCCGGCTGCGCAAGTGCCAGGAGGCGGGCATGCGTGAGCAGTGTGAGTGCAGGAAATGCTGCCGGGAGCGCCGTGGTGTTGGGACGGGAGACGCCTGGGGGCAGGCTGGGGGCTGATGGGGGTAGGGAAGGGGGGTAGTGCGAGTGCTTGGGGGTCACATGGGAACCATGCTGCGGTGTGTGTAGGAAGTCACTGAGGGCTTAGCAGGGATCGTGTGGGGAGGTGAGGCCCTTAAATGGAACGCCACCGGTGTGCCGAGAGCTCCATCCTTGCTGTGTTCCTGGAAAGAACTCGTGCAGCGTCACATCAGAGGAATGACTTGCAGCTGAGATTTACACGTTGTTCAGTATGCTGTCAGCTGTATCAATACGCTCAGGCTGCGTGTCTTGTGATCAGGACTGCGAGGTTGGTCACCGTGCTCCTTGAACAACAGGCACTTACCTTTGCCTTGTGCTGTGAACTTGTGACTGAGGTCAAGGGCAACACCACAGTGCAGCTGTGTTTGGGCAGACCTGGCCTCGTTGCTCCCTTTAGTGAACTCTGCTGTTTTCATCACACGAGCCCTTAGGCTGCTGTTTCTGAATGCTGAACAATGTTCCTGCTCACATACTGGAACAGCCCTCCTTGTCCGAGACACCTGGGTTTCATACCTTTGCTGGCCAAGACTGACCTACTGGATGCTTGGTTAACACTGAATCTGTGTAGTCTGCTTTTCCGACATCCAGCACCCAGAACGGTGAGGAACAGGGGGTATTTCTGAAACCCTGAGCTGCACCAAGGAAACGTGCTGTTCAGTTTGTTCAAGCAGGAAAAGCAGCACACATAACATGTCATCGGTATCTTTGTCACACTGGTTTGTATCGGCGTTATCTATGCTGTCTTTGCACAGCTTCCCCCCGCTCCTGAGAGCGACACACCGGATGTACTTGGAAAGCTGTGTAGCAAGGCTGCCTGTCCACCTTGCTACTCTGCTGTTGCAGGTAGACACTAGAGAGCCTCGATGTGTTTTCTGCGTTTACTCATTGTCTTTGTGTTGAAGACAGCTCAGAAAAATTAGGCCTAAAGGAATCTTTGGGTTGTTATTATGAAGTGCTTGGCAAGTCTTGTCAACGCTGTAATCCTCACTGCAAGTTTGCCTTGTTAATCTCAACAGAAATTGAGGGCTTTTTCCTCCAGCTGTTTCACTTGGAAGGTAATTCCAGAACTTCCCTCTACTAATTGTTGGAAACCTCCGAATTCCCAGACTGAAGCTATTCATGGCCAGTTTATTGTTCCTAAGCCAGTGTGATCCATGAGGTTAAATAGTTCTTTCATGGCAAATCAGTAACGTAGATTGCTTTGAATTTAGCATGGTGGAGAAGCTGGCACACGGGCAGTTGTCAAGCTTCAGTAATATCTGGTAACTTACTACTCAGCTATAAATTCTTTGTGCATCTGAGTCCCAAGAGGGACTGCATTGACTTGGATCAATACTTCCCTCTTAAACCGTGACTAATACTCTCTGATCTTACAGATCCCCCTTAATTTGGTAACTGTATTGAATGCCTTTGCACAAAAATAAGTCCTAACAGCGTGTCCCTATGTGTGCATCCTCCCTGTTGGAAGCTGAGCACAAAGGTAACTCTCAGCTTGAATGTGCCATGTTCTTTGTCTTTCCCTCTGTGCTGGGTTCAGCCAGGA